GAGGTCCCAGCCCTAGAAGACAGGAGTTCTGCAGGCCAGGACTGAGGGGCACTGGCAGAGCTGAGGGCGCAGACTGGAAGGCAAACTGGGCTAGCAGGGAATGGGGAGAGGGCGGTGCCATCATCCTTTTACGCTCCTGAGGGCTGGTACGTATGCAGCTCCCAGGGGTATCAAGCAGCGCAAACAGGCCCTCAGAAAGTTAAATCCTGGAGCTGTCAGCCCACCTCCTCACCCCTGGCCCTCTGCCCAGCTCGCTGGGCCCTCACTACCTCCTTGTCTGAAAGTCGCCCAACACAAGGCAAGCTGCTTTTCCTCACAGCCCCATTGTTCCTCTGAGTGCCTGCTCCCCAGATACCAAAACGTAGCCAGCCAGGTCCGTGCTGCGCCTGACATGACTTCCTGGACAAGGGGCTCCAGGGCCAAGCTCCTCCGTGGAGGTTTTTCTTGCAAGGAAAGTTCAAGCTAGAGCCCCACCCTTGCTAGCCTCCATCCCCACGGCCAGACCAGCGCTGGCAATGGCTCCTGGTTCATCAGAGGGCAGGAGAAGACGGCCTTCGAGAAAGGCCCCCGCTGTCCATGCACACGGCTCCCCTGCTCGTGAGGCAAAGACTGGCTCCTTCAGGAACGTATTCAAAGGCGGGAGGGGCAGCTTGGGTGGCAGGAATCAGGATGAAGGAGACAGGGGGGTATTTGCTGTAGCAATAGCTGTTACCAGCAGCTCTCCCCGAGCCCCAGTCCCAACCTCATCCCTGCCCTGATTCTGCGGGAGGCCTGATGCCCAGTCCCAGCCCAAGGCAGGGTGGACTGTTACTATCTCCATGGCCCTGCCCAACTCAGGCTGGGCAGCTGCTCCAGTGCCCCCCAGGGGCCTGATCCTGTGAGCCGCAGAGCACCCATGAGCGGCAAGTGCTCAGCACCAGGGCAGGGCCGGGCCACTGGAGAGTCCCCAGGGCAGAGGGCTGGAGCAAGAGGCAAGTGCGTGGAACTGCCGCTAATTGCCCCTGGGCTTAATGGACTCATGCTAAGGGGAGCCGGGGGAGGGGACGCACGAGACAGCGGCCCACGGCTGGTTTGGTAGGATTTATTGTGTAGCAGTTAAACATGACCAGCATGGACGTTAAAAAAAACCAAACACACGTGTACACACGAGAGAGAGACAGACAGACAGACACCACAAGGGATAGGGCATGGCCTGGCGGGCTGTCACCATGAGCCTCCATGCCCATGGGACACAACCTCTTGCGCTACTGCCAGGGGCCCCCTGTTCTCCGCCATGGCTGCCGGCGCAGAGCTGAGGTGGTTAGGGTTAGTTACCCTCCCATCCAGTCCCATTTCCCCCGTGCTGATGGGGGCATGGATGGGATGCGGGGACAGAGGGAGACATGGGGTGGGGAGAGCTGTCAGGCCACAGAAACAGCCCCTCCTCAGAGGCAGCTGACCTGGGGGAATTGGGGGGGGGTGTCACCACCTCAAGTGTTGGTGCCGTGCCCTGCTAGGGAGCCTCAGGCTCACATTTCAATGGACTCTGTTGGCGCTGAGGCCCAGATCCTGGAAGTTAGGCACCTAAATTCCTCTGAGGCTGAGGGCCCGACAGCCTTGGGAACCTAACCCCGGCCTGCGTTGCTAACGCTGCGTGATTGGGCCAGACGTCACTTTGGGGCCCTTTCCGAGCAGGCCTCAGCGTGGAGAGGACCATCAGTCTCACGCCATGGTGAGCTCACCCCCGCAGGAGGGTCAGCGAGGTGAAAGGATCCCCTGGGGGGGACGCTGCCCCAGCGGAGCCGAGCCGCCTGCGGGAAGGCAGGGCGTGGAATTCCTGCCCCAAGGCAGAGCGAAGCGGGAGCTGGGCTCTGGGCCAGCCCTGGCCCGAAATGCACTTTCTCCAGCGCACACCTGTGCACTTAAAAATGGAACAATTTTCCATTCATTAAAGCCAAGGGCTCTGCGAGTGCCTGGCCCCGGCCCAGCTCCAGCTTCCAGATGGGCTCAAAGAGGGGAACGGCATTGACCGATCAGCGCTGGGAACGCTCCAAATGGGAAAGACAAGCGGCTGGAGCCAACAAAAGGCTTTTTCCAAACAAAGGTGGCCCATGGCCGCTGACGGGGAAGCCGGGAGCCCGTGCTTTCCCACGGAGGGGTACTGAGTGAAGACTGCTCCAGGGAGCCAAGCTCCTGGGGACTCCAGCGATACTGCCCCCGATCCCGAGGGCTGAGAAAGAACTTGCCCGGCAGCTCCATGTCCTGGGAGAAATGCCTGCCTTTGCGATAATAGCTGAGGTGCCCACAGGGGAGCAGCACCCTGGGGTGAGGGAGAGCAAGTGGCTCTGCTGACTGGGACCCTGGGAACCTAGAGTGCTGAATTATCAACGGTCCTCACCTGCAGATCAAGCCAGGCTGCCCTGGGAGGGTTTGGGGAGTCCTCCCGGATCCTGGACTGTTTCCCCCTGGGGCACTGAGTGAACTGCCCTGCCAGAGGCACTGGTTTGGAAGCAAGCCTGTAGCCCCCAGCCACACAGTGAGACCTCGCCCAGGCTACTGCTATCCATGCAGCGTGGGAGGGGGCAGGCGCCCAGGGACCCTGCAGTGCCAGCTCACCTCCAACTCAGTGTCAGGGGCAGGGAAGGACACCCACGGGGCCAGAGCCTCAGCGAGTCTAAACTGGCATCGCTCCCCTGAAGCCAATGGGGCTTTACTGGTTTACACCAACTGGGGATCTAGTCCACTGACTTCAGTGGCACCACATCCAGTTACGCCCGCGGAGGCTCTCGTCCAAGTCGATGGAGAGACGCTGATTTCCAGCCGGGGAGAAGCTGGCTCTTAATCTTTGGCCCAAGCAGCCTATTCATCCCTGTGGTGTGCAGCAAACGCCGATCCCCTCCGCCCAGACACATCCCCTTCGCCCGGGCAAAACTGCCAGGGAAACGGACTAGCCCAGACACAAACGTTACTTGCTGGCTCTTGACCATGATAACAAAACCACCCGTATTTTACTCAACCATGAAAAAAGGCAGATTTGGCCAGGCCAGTTCTGGCCCAGGGTTCAGGCAGTGGGAACCCACAGTAAATCCCACCCGTTTCTGCACCTTGTGCCCATTGGCGGTGCTGGGACAATTTCCCCGTGCAGGGGAAAGCCGGCACGTCTGCTGCAAGAATGGAGCGGGCGGGATCTGCCGAGTGGGTGCTGCCCTCTGGTTCAGGAAAAAGGCAGGAAGGCCTCAGCTGTGCCCACGGGGGTTGGGTGTTCAGAGCCCCCTTGCTCCCGATACGCAACCTTTCCTGGTGGGTCCCAGCTCTCCGGGAAGAGGTGTGCCCGATAAGGCACAGTCGAATTCAGTGGTGTAGTTACAAGGAACCTGTACAGTGTCGGCTAATCTGGGGCTTGCCAGGCTGCTGCCGAAACTGGGAAGGCATCTAGCCTCCCTTGCTGCCCCGTCTCCACAGGCTGAACAGCTCTGCAATGGCTGCGAGCCTGGGTCGGGCTGTCCCTTGGCTCCCACAAAAGCTTTTATGGAGCGGAGTTTCTAAGCCGCCCCTCCCCCCTGCGCCCCTTCCCAGAGCGGCTTGTCCCCCGCGCACGGCGCTCTCAGGCTCTGGGGCAGTGGGGGCTGGGCGCCGGAGCTTGCTGCTTTCCCAGCCCCATTTCCCACAGGCCCCGCAGGCGGCTGTTTGTTTCGGAAGCGGGTGTGCGGGGGAGAAGGAAGCGGATGAAAAGCAGCTACGGGCGACTTCCATCGTAAGAGCATCTTCCCAATGGATGGAGGCCCCGATGGGAACTGACCAGTGTCGCTGGGGCTGGGAGAAGCACAGGCCCTCGGCTCCCGGCCAGCCTTCCAGGGCAGGTTCCAGAGACCTCTGCTATCTTTAGGCTCCCTCCCTCCCTCGTTTCCCAGCTGTAAACAGTTAAACAGGAAATAAACACAGTGAGGTCACCTCCACCCCATCTGCCTGGGCCAGAAAACCCAGCTCAGCACGCCTCGGAAACGAACCAGTGCCTGGGGAATCAGCAGCAGCCGGAGCCGGGCTTCTCTTGCACCGTCTGCTCTGCCAATACCCTGCAGCCCCCCTGCTATCCCAGTTCTGGGCCCCCACCCAGCTCAGCCAATGCCCCTCAGTCCTGCCCTGCAGCCCCCCCCAGCTACTCTAGCCACAGGCTCAGATGTATAATCCTGGTCAGTCCACATTCCAATCCCTGCTAGGCTGAGGCCATCAAACTCATATCACCTGGGACCTGAGCCAGGATTGGAATCCACTTCTCCAGCTGGCCCGTGCACCCTCACGACCCCACCGCCCTCCCCTTGCTGTAGCTTGGCACTGAAATGCCCAGGAAAGCCCATGTCCACAGCCCAAGGGTGGCCATGGGGAGAAGCTCCTGGAAGAGGCCGTTTCCCCTGGGCCCCGCTGCTAGCGCGCTGTGTGTGGGGAAAAGCTGCTGCTAGACGTTAGCACAGTCCGGGCGGGCGAGCGAGAAGAGGGGCCGGGGAGATGGCTTCCCACTCCCCCAGGGCAGTGCACTGAGCGGCTGCCCACCCGCCCCGGGGAGGAGCAGGGCTGCAAAGACCACCGACACGAGGAGACAGGGAGGGGAGCTTGAAACAGACATCAGAGCCAGACCGCCTCGGATGAACCAAAGAGCCAAGCCTCTCCTATAGGACCTCACCCGGGAAAAGGCTTCCCTTCCCTCGGGCTGGGGGACGTACCCCCCTGGGATTGATCAGACTGGTGACTTGTCAGGGGTGAACCACCCAGACCAGGATCCCCTCCCTCTGCTCCACGGGCCCAGCCAGGACACGGCACAGACAACACACGCACGACATGTGGATGGGCGCCAAAGGGAAACATCCAGGACCAGGAGGGCTGATTGCTGGGGGAAGAGCCGAGCTGAGGAAGCATTTCGAGTTCTGCCCCTCCGAGCCTGTGACTGGGCGCCGAGCCGAGAACGCAGCCGAGGGAGGTGGCGTCTGAGGACGGGGGAGAGACCCCCATGGCCCAGGAGGGCCGTAAGGGAAACCCACCCACCTGTCCCCTCCCGTGGGGGGTTCGGCACTCGGGGCCCAGGTGCTTCTGTGAAGCAGAGATGGGGGCCCCCAGCAAATGGCTGCTCCCCAATGCCAGCCCTGCAGCGACGAGAGATCAGAGGCTGCAGAGCACGGACATGGTCTCCCTTGCCCAGCGCGAACACTGGGAGCAACCCAGATCGTGGGGCAACCCCCCTCTCCCCCAGCAGGGAGGGGGCCACAGGCGGCCTTGATCCAGGCACGGGAAGGGCAGAGGTGGCTGTAAGCACGGAGGAGTCTGTAGTGCGGCGTCTCCGACATGCTCGAGGGGGAAGCAGGCCTGGCCGAGCGCATTCAACTCAATGTGCAAAACCTCGGTGTAAGTCATCTGGGAAAGGCTCCGGGGGCTTCGTCTTCTCAAGCTTCTTTGTTAGCACCATGGTGGTGGGAGAGGGGGATCGGGCTGGGGGCGGGGGGGGGGGGGGCATGGTGGGGCAGGGGTCCAGGTTCAGACCCACTCCTGCAAGGAGCGTTTGCAGTACAGCAGCATCCGAGGGGCCCCCTTCCTGTGCATCTGGATGATGGCGTAGATGAGGCCCAGAACGCAAAGCAGCAGCACCAGGGGCACCATCACCATGACGATGCTCATGGTCCGCGTGTACTTGTCTATCTGCACCACGATGTCCACGTCGTTGCCGCTGCCCCGGGTGGGGCCGCCGTAGTCCTCCTCCTCCTCCTCCTCCTCCTCCCGGTCGCCGGGGCGTGCTTCGGCCTCCCCTTCGTCCCCCTCCCGGTCATCGCCCGTGCCCCTGCCGTCCGGGTTGAAGGGAGGTCTGTCCAGGTCAGGCCATCGGTGCCCAGGGTCGGGGTCCGGCACCAGTGCCTCGTGGCAGCCCATGAAGTCCCGCAGGATGGACTTGGGGTACCCCGGCTCCGTCTTCAACCGCTCATTGTCGAACTTCCAGTACTTGGTGCCTTTGTAGAAATAGGTGTACGCTGGAAGGGAGCCAATGAGAATAGGTTAGTGCCACCTGATCTGCTAACCGCTCGGCCACACCCCAGAATCAACCTCTCTGCTACCCCACCCCACCAGGGAGCCACCTCCTCTGGTATTCTGCCTGCTGCCACACCTGATCAGCCTGCTGGACTGTCTTGTCTGCTATCCTCGCCTCTGGTGGTAGCCAATAACTGATGCTTCAGAGAAAGGAGACTAAAGCTGGTGACAGTGCACTTGGCTAATTGTGCAGTGCTGAAGGATGTGTGTTGGGGGAAGGAGGGGTTCCTTCCTGACCCCTGCAGTTAAGGGCTGATGCCCTGAAGCATGAGAGTTAATTTCTCCTAGTTCAAATATAATTGATCCTTTAATTACTCAGCACTTTCCTTTTTAAAACCCAGTCCCAGGAGCTGACCCTATCACTCCCTGGATCCAAAATCCCACTACATGCTCTATGAATGAGCACTTTGTTTGCGACATCCTGCTGGGAGTCTGTTCCCGGCCAGGGACAAACAATTCCCTTTGCTTTATCGCTGCCCCGGGGGAGCTTAGCGGTTCAGTGCCCTGCTGAACAGAACAGAAGACGGGCATTAGGCTAAGCCAGGTTATGCTCCAGTGACCAGGAAACGGAGCAGAGGAAATTGGACTTCCTGTAACTCCGAACGAGGCGCTCTGCCGTGGCCTCTGCAAGCTCAGGGGGTGACACCAGTCTCCATTCCCGCACCCGCTGCACCTGGCTCGTCTAATGCTCCTGCTCCAGTGACCCTTTGGTACCAGGAGCCAGGTAACCCGTGGGGAGCCAGGCCGAAAAGCAGCAGCCCCAGCGCGAACACGGGGAAAGGCCGAGAGGCCGACGCAGGATCGGGGGCAAGCAGAAGCCTGCAATCTGCCGGGGGTTCCACAGGAGGAGTGGGGGGGCAGTTGAACAAGCTGATCAGCTGCTTCTCAGAGCATTAAAGGGGCAAGGGGGTACCAATAATACTACAAAGCAGGGCGGAGAGAGAGGGAAGAGGGGGCAGGGTATAGAGACAGGGAAATGACCAAGTTCCCACCGAGTGGCCTGTGCCCATCTGGTTCCCATGCCCTTGCCAAGGGGCTAGGAGGTTCGAGAGATAGGGATGAAAGGGACTTTCCCTGCTTTGCTCACTGTAATCTTTGAAGCCAGAATTGCAACATTCCCCCCCCCCCCCTCACACACACACAGTTGTGAAAGAGCCATAAGGGGCAGTGATCATTGTTCTCCCTGGAGCGCCCAGGCCAGATCGTCAGCTGGTGTCAATGGCTGCAGCATCTCTGGGCCCACGTACATCAGCTGTGGGGCTGATACAGGTGCTGCTGGGCAGTGCTGGGTGATTTCCCCGCTGGGGTGCGGGTTCCTACAGAGGGGGTAGCCGGCTCCTGCGGGAGGGCTCGAGCGTCTCACTCACAGGCATCCGAGCTCAGGAAGGCCCCCTTGGGCGTGGGAGGGACTCCCACCCACACGGTGATCAGCTTCGGGTAGCCAGGATCCACGGAGTGGGTCTCCTCGTTAAAGCGCCAGTACCTGCATGAGAACAGACGCCTCGGTGAGCAGATGGCACCCAGGCAGCTCAAAGGTGTCCGCCCCCCGCATGGCAGCACCCCGCCAGAAAAGGGTCCCGTAGGACGCAGCATGGCTAGGCCAGCTCCAGCCCCGGCTTAGAACCAGCAGGGGGCGTCCCGCTTGCTTAGATTGCGGGAAGCGTGGGGGGTATATTCCTCCCGCCCACCCATCCTAGTCCAACCAGATGCTCAGTGACACACACAACGATACCTTTGGAACCTGAGAGCACGGTGCGGAGATGGAAGGAGCAGCAGCATCACCCTCATTTAACAGGAGGGGAAACTGAGGCACGGAGCCAGGCGGTGCCTTGCCAAGGTCAGTGGCAGAACTGGGACTAGAACCCAGCCTCCCAGTCCCGTGCGTCAGCCGCAACGTCCTCAGATCGCTGGATCCTACCCACAGTGAGCAGATTGGAGCAGCACATAGACACTCCCCACCCCCCCAACCATAGGTTTGAGTCCCGCAGTGCTGCGGGGTGGGGGGGGATGCTGGGGGACTGGTGGGGGGTCAGACGCAGAGAGCTGTGGGGAAGAGCTGCCACCCCAGGTGAAGGAGAGGAGGAAGCTGGGGCCCAGGGCCCACGCCAGGAGAAATCCACAGGGCTGCAGAAAAGTCTCTCGGGAGAAGTGGCAGAAGGGCCAGTGCTCGGGAGGTTACATGAGGGGCTGGGAGGAGTAGGATGATAAACAACACTCAGTGCATCCAATCGGGGGTGCCCCGCATTGTCTCCATGAGACAGATGGAGAAACTGAGGCACAGAGCAGAACTGGAAATAGAAGCCAGGGGTCTCCACAGCCAGGCCCCTGCTCTGACCCCATGACCACGGGAAACCCTGTCGCCCGCATGGCCCATCGGGGCCAACCCACCTGTCCCCGCGGAAGAAGAAGGTGTGTCCCGTGGGCTCCCACCAGATGGCAGTGTCGATCTTGTCGTAGGGGATGCCCTGCCCGTAGCTGGTGAGGGGCTGCGGGTATCCGGGCTCCAGGTTTGCCTCTCGGAAGAGCCAGTACCGATCCCCTGGGAAGGGAAGGAAAACCCATGGGCCACGTGGCATGTAGAAGACAAGTCACCCCGCCCAGCCCAGCTCGCTGGAGCCCACAGGCCCTCCCGGCCAGGCACGCGGGACCATGCGCTGCTATGGTGCTGAGAAACTGCTTGCGCTAAGCTCGGCACCCGCGTTCCTGCCCTGGCCCTGTTCTCCCGCTGAGACGCGGCCTCTCTCAGCAGTAGCACCCCTGCTGGGCACCATCCATCTGCTGCCCTGCCAACCCCCAGGGCTCCTCCTCACCCAGCCCGAGCTTCAGCCCCGGCATGCTGAGCTGGGCACTGCCCCCAGGCCCTGAGCCTTTGCCCCTGGCATTGCCTGAGCTGTGGGGGAGGCCAGGGCTGGGACAGCAGGGGGCAGGGGCTCTGGGGCAGGGCTGTGGGGCACTGGCCGGGGGTGGGGTGAGTCTGCCCAGCTCTGGGAGCATCAATCGCTCCCTCTCTCCAGCTCTGCATTCACAGAAAGCCCCTGTCCCTCCCCGGGTCTCTCACCTTTGAAGAACACGAACTTGCCGTCGTGCCTCTCGTAGGCGGCGTCGATGTCCCCGGGGAGGCCCCTCCAGAAGTGCCCGATGGGCATGGGGTAGTTGTCCAGCACCCGGTTATGGCGAACCCTCCAGAACCATCGGCCCTTCAAGACAAAAGGCCACCAGGCGTGATGCTCAGCACGGCCCAGGAAAACAGCCCGCTCAGCCCACTGCGCGTGGGGACCCAGGCCCTGGGCTCCTGGGCTCGGCGGGGCAGCAGGATTCACTCGTAGGGCTGGTTGGGACGGCCCGGGCAGATCTCCTCACCTCGACCCGCCACAGGCCCAGGGCAGAGGAGCACGCTGGGGGGCAGACGGCCAGGCAGCCAGGGAAGGGGGCAGCGGGTGGGGGAAGCAAGTGTCCCATAACCAGACACTGGGAAGGGCCAGGGGGAATGGAGGGAGGGAGGCAGGCCCAGGGCAGGATGAAGAAATGGTGCTTGGTACCTTAAACACAAACATTTCCCCGCGCAGCACAGCCACGGTGTCGAACTCCCCATCACAGATGTTGGGCCCGTACTGGTCGGGCCGGTCGGTGGTTCGGGGCCGGTCCGGGTTGCCTGGTTTCGGGGGCCGATCTGGTTTACCGGGGGGAGGTGGCTTGGGGGGTCTGTGGTCTGGCTTTCCAGGGCCGCGGGGAGTCACCGTAGGGAGGGGCCGGGTGGGCTGGGGCTGCCCATCAGGGGCACCTGGGAAAGAGGAGGGGGCAGTGAGAAATCACTCCCGAATGTCTAACCCAGCTGGACGGGAGCGAATGTGCTGTGCTGGTACAAATCTGCAGGCACCTGGGCCTCACCATACCGTGCCCCCATCTTCATGGGCTGCATGGAGTCAGTGGGGTGAGATCTCAGCACGCATGGCTCCAAAAGCACAGGCCTCTGCCACTACAGCTACAGGGGAATCGCTCTCAGCAGTACAGGGCCTATGACACAACCTGAGCAGGGCAGGGTACTCACTAGACAGGGTAGTGCCTAGATTTTATTGTGACTGGGGACAGATGTTCCCCACATATTACAGCTGTGTGCCTGGGGGGCGGAATGACAAATCATTAACTCCTTACTGCCTGCTGCGAAAGGGACAGAGATGCATTTCGGTCTCCCTAGCCTCTCTGACGGCTCCCGGACTCCAGTCCGGGTTCCCAAACCGCAGCCCAAAGGGCAAGGACAGGCAACGCTGGGCAAGCCCCGACCCCGGGCTCCACGCCCACTGCGCTGTCCAGCATACAGCTACCCTCTCAGTACGGCGACAGGAGTCTGGAGAGAGGGGAAGGGGCCCGGGCCACGGTGGACAGCCACTTCCGGGCAGATACAGGGAGGCTGCTCTGGACGGCTGGAGCTGCAGAGCAGGTTCTGGTGATACAGGGGGCAAGTGTGAGGAAGGGGCCGAGGGGCACCTGCCTCGTCGCCTGATGTACCTGGATCGATGCTGCACAGAAAACCGGTGGCTCAGCAGCAACGAAGGGGTTAACAGCAGCAGCTTAGGGTTCATGCTTTGCTGAAGGGACGGGACTTTGATCCGGCCTGTCTACTTCCCAACACACACACCTGGGCTGGGCTGGCCAAGCCCCACTCCCCGCCCAGCCCCCATGCAGGAGGCTGGGACCCGGCTCACCGTACAGCTGCTGGATGCCCTTGAGGTCATCCTCGGGCAGCTGGAAGTTCTCCGTGTCCATCCACTGGTAGAAGGGGGCCATGATGGCGCTGGGATTGCTGGAGTGCTCCAGCCCCAGCGAGTGCCCCAGCTCGTGGATGGCCACCAGGAAAAGATTGTTGCCTGGGAGGGAGAAATGCGCTATCAGACGGGGACGCGAGCTCAGGGACTGCCCCCAGCAGGGTGGACAGACCCCAGGACGCTCACCAACCCTGGGGCTCCTGCAGCCCAATACCCCAGGGGTTAACAATCCTTTCCCTTCCCCCAGACCTCCCTGTGCCAAGCCGGGGCTCTCTGTCCAACGATCTAGGCCAGCCAGTACCTCTCCCACGGTTCTCCCTGACCATGCGCCAGAGGGGGCTGTGCTTGGGATCAGGACACAACTCACCATGCCAGTAATCTCACGCTGGACAGTGCACCCGACACATCGGCAACCCCTGCAGCCTTCAACTCACGCTGCGTGGTGCCCACGCCATGCGGGGCAAGAGACAGCTGCCTCCTCCTTTCTTGCCAGCCACCAGTGTAAAACTCAACTCGGCCTTAACTATCGCTGCTACAGCCAGAAGGGACCACTGTGACCCTCCAGCGTGCCTCCTGCAGAACGCAGGCCACAGAACCCTACCCAGTAAGTCCAGCCTCAAGCCCATAACTTATGGTTGAGCTAGAGCAGGTCTTTTAGGCACATATCCCGCCTTGAATTAAAGACTTCAACTGATGGAGAAGACACGACCTCCCGAGGTACACTGTTATTGGCTAATTACCCTCACTTAAAAACTTGCCCCTTATTCCAGCCTGACCACGTCTAGCTTCAGCTTCTTGTTATGCGTTTTCCTGCTAGATTAAAGAGACGGTTACTACCGGAAATCTCTTCCCCAGGTGGGTACTTGTAGCCCACAGTGATCTCTCAACCTTCTGGATTCCAGCTGAGACTCACCCTCCCCCCACACTAAGTCCTTTTCCCCTCTCCGCCCCAGTCACCAGCCTTCCCAAGGTGCCAGCCAGTCTCACCAGACATGTCGGTGTTCTCCAGTGTCCAGGGCTCGTCCGAGTCAAAGTGCGTGTCCCCTCCCATCCCGGGGCCGGGGAAATACGCATGGGCCAGGAAGCCCCCCACGCCATCGAAGGGGGAGCTGTCTCCATGGAAACCGGAGGCAAAGAGCACCATGATGTCGGCCTCCTTCCTCCTCTTGTGCCTGATGTCATCATAGGGGACCTCTTGGAAGACAAGGGGCGTGGCCTGCTCCCACACCCGGAAGGCTCGGCGAATGGCCTCGTACGAGTGGTACCGCCCCAGCTTATCCGTGTAGTTCTGGATGCTGGAGGCACAAAACCGGGGGTGGGGTTGTGAGTGAGCGTGGGATCGCTTGTGAGGCATGAGGAACCGGGACAGGAGAGGGACCAGATGGGTCAGTTTCACTTTGGTTTCAGGTCAGTTTTGCTCTCTGGCACTATCCCTGTGCAGCAACATCTGGGCTGCGAACCCGGCAGGGGGAAAGCTCACATCCCACCCAAAACCGGTTTCACGGGGCATTACTCATGTATTAGAACGTAATCCAAACCTTTCTCCAGCAGGGACTGAGGCCAGGATCTCCAGCTCCAATGTGCAGACCTAGCTAAGCGCTGGGGGACGGAGCCTGCTTCCACTGACGTCAATGGCAAATGTCCCACTGGCTTCAGTGGGGAAGGAGCAAGCCCCCAAATCCCCTGTGCACAGCAGAGGAGCGGGGAGTTCTCTCTGGATCAGCCATATGGGGTAGGGCGGGGGGAGGGACAGACACTGGGCCAGCGGGTTACATCAAGGTTTATGATACCCTGAATGCTGGGCCCTGCCCTTCCCTAGGGACTCTCATCTTTCAGTCTTGCTGGTCCCTTGGCAAAGGGCTCGAGACATCCCTTTACTGCCCCATTTCATGCCCTAGGATCTCTTTAACAGCACTGCCCCATGTTTTATAACCATCCTCTCCCGGCTGGGGGGGGCAGAGGGGGGTGGGAGCGAAGCAAGCAGCAGAACCCCGTCTCAAGAAGGGAAGCCAATGTCGCTGCTGGAGAGCCAACCTCCAGTACAGCCAGCAGAGCTGCATCGACTCACAGCAGCCAAGGAGCTCGCCTGGAGGCGAGTGAGAGACAGAACATGGCATCGATCCAGTAGGTCGCTCGTTAGGTAATGGCAGCACGGCACCTGGGCAGGCAGACATGGCAGCCGCTTAGTGCCTAGCGCTGAGCCTGGGGTGCTCGTTTTGTTTGGGCCATCTGCTGTACGTGCTGCTCAGCTGAAATAATGCCCCAGGTAGATTGATGGATGGCTGCTGGAGCCCAGCCCCTCTGGAGAGCAGATTCTGGTCCCTAGCCCTGCTGCCCCACCTGGGGGTTGTGCCCTGAGCATGACCCTCTTCCGCTCACCCTGCTGTAAATCAGGAGTAGCTCCTGGAATGACAGCCTTGTAAAACTAGAGTAAGTGAGAATCAGGCCCCGGGTGGCGAGCCGTTTGCCCCTGCTGCATCCTGAATTTGGCCCTAGCAGCCTGGGAGGCTGAGCAGCCCCCAGCCAGGCCCGAGTGGGGACGCAGAGCACTCGAAGCCAAGGCCCAATGGGCTGAGCGCCGATACCTGAAGGTCAGGTGGGTTTGGCTCCAGCGCCGCCCGGTGAGCGCGTACCGCTTCCGCCGCATGTTGGCTTTGATCTGGACTCCAAACTGATCCGGGACACCACAGCGGGGCCGCTTCATCCACCTGGGGGAAGCCGAGCACAGCAGCCACCGAGTGAGGACTGAGAACGTGGGGCGCGTGTCTGGCAGCCTCGCAACACAGAACAAGGTGGAGGGGGTGGGGCTCAACGCCCAGCAGGAGACCAGACCCTAGGCTCTGGGAAGCCCAGTGTGAAGATAGATGTGGGGGGCATCAGACAGGTTCCCAAGTCCCACCCATCCGAGAGTGCCTGGCAGTGGGGAGAGTCAGGCGGTTGTTATGGCTGGGGAGATGAAAGGGAGGTCTGGCAGATGCAGGGTGTGGGGAGCCGGGGTCCTTCGGTTCTGTAAGAGGTGGAGGACCGCTCCGTCTCCTCCATCGCCCTGGGAAAGGGGCCCTGTGCTGCTGCCTTGGGCTGGCCCTCCCACCTCGACGTGCCGGATAGTCCAGCCGGTGTCTCCTGGGAGCGTCCCAGAGCCTGGGCGGGAGGGGAGTGGCAGGGAGTTAAAGCCTCCCCCTTTCACACGCTTACAGCTTGGTCTCCTCATCCAGGACGCCCGTCACCGTGATCCCGTAGAACCTCTGCATCTCGGAGAGCGCGGAGGCCAGGGTCTGCGCCGAGCGCATGGTGGACATCTGCCGGCTGGACTGCGGGAGGTAGCCGTAGAGCCGGAGCCAGGCCTGCAAAGGAGGCACAAGGGTCACACGCTGAGCCTTCCCCGTGCCCATGATCCTGGGCGCCTGGCTGGCACAGTGGGCTGGAGAGAAAATGGCAAACCTGCCACCTCCAGCTCAGGCCTTTGTGTGGCTACCGACCTCGTCTGGAGTCAGTCCGGCACCCTGGAGGGGGAAGTCTCCACCGCCCCATGGGAACCAGCCCCGTCTCCCCCTCTCAGAGTCCCCGGCGTGCCCCTCTACGCAGCAGCAGCAAGGTCTGCTTGTGTGCGTACTGCTGGGGTCAAGGCGTCACGCTCCAAAGGGTCCAGTTCAGCTGGCTACTCCCACGCTGCTGGGACAAGCCTGGGCACCTGGCTGCTGGGAACTGCTCCCACATGCTGCCTTCTAGCCACCTGGGGGAGATCCAACCACCCCCCTCCCGCCGTGTGAGTAACAAGGGGCAGAGATGGGCTGCAGCCCTTAGCACAAGGGGGCCCTCAGCTCACTGGGGCTGTGAGGTACCCAGGTAATGCTCCTTCCCGGACCCCGCCAGAGGCCTGGGATCCTGATGTTGCCGCTCTGAGCAAAGGACAAATGAAAAGGGAACTGGGCTGTTTACATTCCAGGCCCAGGAGGCTCTGGGGGGCGGTTTACATGGCAGATAATAATAAGGCTTTGATCTCCCTCCTGTTCTTCCAACCCTTCGCCTTTATTTACCTGCTATTTTTAACCTCCCTTTTGCACACGTGGGTCTGCCAGGCCGCTGGCCAGAACCGATCCCTCCCCAAGCCGAGATCATGTATCCTACGTTGGGCCACCCTGCCGGACGGTAACAACAACTGGCAACCAACATGCTTGTCACAGAGAGGGGGGACGCTGCGTATGGGCAGAGAGGGGTGGAAAACCAGGCCCTGTGCCAATCACGTGGGCAGGGAGATTCCAGGAAGCAGCAGCCCATGGGCATCAGCTGGGAGGCGGCATGCTGGCAGGGAATCTAGCCCAGGGGGTTGGCGAATCCAACTGGAGACGGGACAGCGGGAGGGGAGGTCGGGGAAAGTGGTACATGCTGCTGCGCTACTAGCGCTGGTTACTCCTGAACCTTTCCATATCCTTTCACATTATTGTTTCCTTATTTCTCACTTGGCTCCAAGCCACTCACAAGAAGCGCCGCAAAGCCCTAGCGAGCAACGCCTCGTTAGCGCAGGGAACTTCAAAGGTGGCTGCAGCCTGAAGCGGCAGATTAACACATCAACTCCTGGGTGAGGCAAGAGATAAAATACAGAGCAAATGGGAGGCTGGGGCAAGTCAGTGTTTTATTGTATAGTGAGCGTGGCAGTTTACATGGGGGAAGGCTGCATAGTCCACGATCGGGCACGAGCTTGGGAGATCAGAGATCTATTCCTAGCCCTGCTGTGGATTCCCTGGGGGTACGTCTACACAGCAAAGAAAAACCTGCAGCTGGCCTATGCTCAGGCTTGGGGACTGGCTGCGGGGCTCTTTCATTGCGGTGTAAACTCCCGGGGTCGGGCTGGGGCCCTGGCTCTAGGCCCCTGTGCAGCGGGAAGGTCCCAGAGCCCCGCAAGCCCAAGTCAGCTGGCACGGAGCAGCTGCCGATTTTTCTTTGCAGTGTAGACATACCCTATGTGACCTTGGGGCAGGATTGGCCCAGGAGCTTTGGAAATCTGACCACTGCTTGAGGAGCTGAATTGAAAATCTGGTCCATTAAAGCCTGCTTTTCAGAAGGGCTGAAAATCCATCCCAGCTAGGGATGCTCACCACCCATGCAAATTAGCCCACCCACCTTGCTGCCTCAGTTTCCCCAGCAGGACAATGAGGACAGGGATAGCTGCTTTTGTAAAGTGTTTTGGGATCTATGGGTGGGAAGCAAATCAGAGCCCCATCCCTGCCCTGAGGAGTTCACAGTCCAGGTTAGACCCAGGGGAAGATGACAGTGGGGGAGAGGGTATGGAGGACAAGAGGGGGACCTGCCCAGTGAAAGTCCGGGAGGGGACTGTTTTCCCACCAGATGTTTCCTGTTAGCTCAGTTTCTAGTAATATACGTGGAGTGTGTGTGGTAAACAGAGTCAGCGCCGCGGAGATGAAAGGATGGGTATAAAGAAGGCAACAGGGAAGGAGATGGTTTCTTTGTGTGAAATGCCTGGCTGCTTGCCTGATGCAAAATCATTTGAGCTAATTCAGCCAGGGTTCTGTCATTGATCCGATGGTTCCTTAAAAGGGGCTGGGAGGAGAGGGGGCGGAATAAGCCAATTTGCAGAGTCAGCTCTTCCCTGGCCCACTGGGACGGTTTGAGAAGAACTTTGCTTCCTGCCAGCAATGTACAGCTGGTGCCCAGTGCTCTCAGGGTACGAGAGCGGCCTCACGCCACCCAGTGGGATGCAGGGCAGGCACAACACGTAGCCAGAAGTGCTGGGAGCTGCGCTGCCTTTCCTCTAACCTCCCCCTCGTGCGATCACACCATTTGCTCTCATCCAGCAGTTCAAAGCCTGACGCCGGGAGCAGCTCTATTGGTGCAAATCCACAGCTCGACGTGGGGCACACGCACACACGCAGCCAGGCCAGCCAAGGGCTGAGGCCCTGCCCCTTTTGTTTTATGGCTGTCGGGGGACTTGGCTGTCATTTGCAGCACGAGTAGCCCCAGAGAACGTTGCCTTCCAGTGAAGCCTCTAAGCCAGGGGGCCCAGCTGATGCAGTGCAGGGTTCTTTGAATATTTCTCCAGCTACCAAAGTGATGGGCCCCAAATAAATGCCGCTGAAAGGCACTGGGAAAGCAGCCATAGACACAGATGCAAACCCAAACCCAGACACTGCAGGCACCAGCTAAGCGCTGCCTGTGTAGCCTGAAGTCAGGATCTGACGGGGCCCTCGCCTTCTGGGAGCATTGAGCTTTTGTATGTGACAAGCCACGAGGGCGCGAGATCCTCACCAGCCCCTGAGCAGGCCTTACTGCCTCTAGCGGCGAAGCATCTCCACGCCAGCATGGTCATAGCTACACTTACAGCCTTCCCTGCGACTAAGGTTTACAGTGCTCTGACAGGGGACTCAAGTGGGCGCTCAGACAATGAAAGCTAAGGCTCCTAAGCTCTAGTCCACTGCTGCCACGGATTCACTGCGTGACCATGAGCAAGTCACATGACGTGCCTCAGTTTCCCCACCTGTACGATGGCGCTAACCTGCTGCATCTGCCTTGGGGAGGTTTGTGAGGATCAAGTACCCTTTTGGAAGTGCTTTGAAAGCCACGGCTGGAGAGTACTAGAGAAGGGCCCAGTGTCCCAGCGGTGGGCTAGATTTCGGGCTGTGTGAACTCAGAAATCTCTCGCTGGAGGGGAGATCCCAGGTGCTTTAGGCATCTCTGTCACGCTGAAAGCACTGGAACGACTAATTAGTAACGGACATCAACAGAGCTGGGGGAGACATTCCCATGTTATCCTGCCCACTAGAGCAGGGTCTGTTGGGATTCAGTGGTGCAGGGTGAGCTGAGGCGTGGGGAGCCGTGGCAGAGCGCTCCTTGCTAACACCCAGTTTGAACTTGAATTTTGTCGGTTGATAAATCTGCTTTTGTCTGAAGAGGCTTTGCGAGCTGGCTTCGACTGCGAATAATTAGGAGGTCACTAGTGAACTAACTAATGAATCCTCAGTGACAGATACAGAGGGCTCATGAGCCTTGTTTTACATTTGGGGAAACTGAGTCATCGAGCCGGGGAATGACTTGCCTATGGATACACAACAAACCCGTGGCAGACTCTGGCCTAGAATCCAGCTCACTTGACTCCCGGCCTCCTGCTCGAATGAATGTGCTGCACCCAGAACTGCCCCTTCCACGGTGTGTCATGGGCAAACCCTTGTAGAACAGGATGCCAGCGAGCCAGGCACAGTGATTGACCACAAGCATGGCAGAGGAAGGGGATTGCTGGCTGCCCGCTCCACAGTGGCCAATGCCTGCCAGGCGGGGCAATGGTGAGGCGAGTGGACTTGCTGTCCTGGACCAGATCATTGGGCTATTGCGTCTGGTTTTCGGGGGGTGTGGAGGAGACAAGAGAAGCTGCAGCAGGCATCACCCTCACTGTGAGCATGCTAATGGGAGACGGCCTAGTTCCTTTCACTCCACTTCCCCCGGCCATCGCCCAGCCAAGCAGGCGTCCCCCCCCCCCCCCACAGCCTGGTCCGACCCCCCCCCCCCCCCCAGCACCAAACAGCTTGGCTTCCTTAACATCTCCCTAGCAAAGCTGCACGGGGGCCTGAGAGGCCCTGACCACACTATGGGTCCTCAACACTTCTCAGGATCAGGCCCTGACAACATCTCCTCTCTGCTCCATTAGCTGCAGTCACAGTTCCCTGGCAACGGCTCCAAATCAATAACGACTTATGGGCCCTGTCATGCAAAGGATCCCAGAGTGCTCTGTAGCCTCCCTCAAACAAGGGCAGGGTCAGGCCTCTTGGAAATCCCAGCCCTGAGCATGTGCTGGGGAGAGGTTCTTGGAACCTATTAAAGCTGGGATCATGTTTCTTCTTGCAGGAGGAAGATAAACCACATGGCCTGCTGTGTTTCCTTACACTGATACCAGCCCTGATTAACTCAGAGTGGAGCGACAGATTTTTTTTTATATATATATCAATGGATTTGCTAATTGATTCATAGCAATCTGATCTACAGGCATGTGGGGTCTATTACGATTTGTAGCCAGAGGTCCCTGCCAAGATCAGGGCCCCTTTGTGCTGGGCACTGTACATACACAGTGAGAGAGAGAGTCTCTGCTTCCAATCGCAACAGACAAAGGAGAAAGGAAGGGTCCACATTCCCATTTTCCTGCTGGGGGGCTTAGGCACAGACAGTTGAAACGACTTGCTCACGGTCACTCAGGGCACGCGGGGACAAGCCCAGAATTCAATGCAGTGCAGCGCTCAAGCCACAAGACCACCTCAAGGGAAACCGTGCCAGCCAGTCACCATGGAGTCTGAGTGCCTGGGTAGCAACACAGCCAGCCCTGGGGAGAGAGGGGATG